GGCAGTAATTATTGGCCTAAGTGGCCTGTTATGGAGCAATCAGAAGGATTTTTCATTTAAGTCAGCTTGGACCTCTCTGTCCTCAACCTAAATGGTTTTCTTATTACGAAAGAAGGTGATGACCACTGTTAAGCGCGAAACTAAATTGGACAGGGATACTAAAATGTTCGACATGACGGTCACAACAGCCATTTCACACTGACCGTACAGCATGTGAGGCTGACAGTATGTTCTCTGACTGCTGTAAAACACAGCGCAGCGGGCAAATACCAGCATAGTTCACTCACTTTAACTCCAGGTGTGTTTAATGCCACACAGGAGCGAGTCACACTGGGAGGAGACACGACGCAAACGTTTCTCACAACAACAAGTAAACACCAGAGCCAAGGTGAATCCAGGAAGGTGAAGCAGAGACATGCAGGAAATGAGTCACATCTCTTTTTTTAAAATGTCTAATTAAATTTTCCTCTTTTTTTCTGCCAAATTAAAACGGCTTACTCCTCTGCATTCTTTATTGTGCAGTTAACACCAACTGTTGGCATGATAGAATACAAGTCTCAGAGAAGCCAAATCTGTGCATGTCTTTGAAAGCATCTCAAAACTAATTTGATTTCTTTGGCTTTCTATTCATTTGGTACATTGTGCACTAAATTCTCTTTCATATGATGTCTTCTCTGTGTCTTTTATCTCCCCCTTTCAGTTTTATTCCACCTGAAAAGCACTTTGTAACTTCAAAACTTTGTTAGGAAAAGTGCTATATACTTAGTTAGTCACTGTATGTTAATGATTTCATTTCACAAGAACATAGTGTCTTGCATATAATATTGCACTGCAAACAAATAACTGTCTTCTATCCAAAACTTGATCCAAAAAAAATAATAATAAGTTTACGTTTATTATCCTTTTCGAAATTTCTTTTGTGTCAAAACTAAACTTGCTTGCTCAATAAATGTCTCCTCCAGTGCACTATCCACATTTTGTTGTTGTTATTTAACCTCTATTTAGCCAGAGGGGTCCTGTTGAGATTTAATATCTCCTCTGCCAGGAAGTCCTGGTAAAGATGGGCAGCAAAACTCAAAGTTTCAAATGCAGGGACAGATGACGTCACAAAAAACATATCAGAACACAACAAGAGGAACAAAATACAGGAATCAGGGGCTGAGAGACAATCATGGCAAATAACAGCACTTGTTAAAAGCAATAATATTGGTCCGTAAAACGTGATTTCAAAATGCTTTTAAACACGTCAAGATAAGTTAATGTCTTTTTTTCAGTTGTCGGAGAGGAGCAGCAGGCAACGAATGAAAGTGGTGTGAACAAGACAATTTTAATGAGTCTGTATCGGCGGCCTGAAGGAATGGTGATGATTAAAGTCCATTTTCCTGTAAGAACATTGAAGTAATTACAACTTCTACATGAGTAATTACATTTAAGTTAAGTAAAAGTACTTTTTCTTGAATTTGATATTTAAGTACTTTTCGCTCCATTCTTCCTGAAGTTGAAATCGTCTTTCACTCATTTACTTATTTTTTAATCATGTCTTAATCCCCTGATCTAATGTCTTAAAGGCACCAAAACAGCAAATTCACATAGGCTGAAAATCATGTCACACTTCTTTTTCCACCAAATGAGGGACACATATTTTGAATTCAAACGATCATCTGCTTCCTGTGTTTACTGAGCTGAGAGCGGCTCGACCTCGTCTCCTGATTTACACATGAGAATCAACTGTCGTCTGTATGACTTGTCGCTTGTGACATGGGATGTTAAGACTATGGTTTAACTCATAAAGTGGTTTCAGTGGTTGGGAACTGCAACCAAGCGATTAGTCTGACTGCAAATGAGCCTTAATGTACAACAGATTTTAAAGGCGGTTGTTTGAAGGGGAAGTCGTTGGACTAAACGGAAGGGGTGAAAGTAAAGTGCTAAGTATCTGGGAACATGATGGGCCAAATGATATGAAGTATGTAACAACCAGTGGGTGTATTTAAGTCAATGTATGTTCAGATTTTTATAAGAATGTGACATATAACTTTTTCTGTCTTGATTTCCTCCTTCTTGGTTTTTCAGTTGTGATAAGCTGTAACTTATGCCATTGAACTGCTGTTTTTTTCAGTGTTAAAAATAATAAATAAAGGGAAAAAATAAATCCAGTGTGACTGAAATTCAACTTAAAGAAATACGTATTACATCTAGTTTTTACTTTTTGCCGCCATTTTCCCCTCTCCTGACAGTTTTGTCATGTGACTTGACGTGACCTACATAGAAAAGGTCATTCAGTCAGCACTGGCATGAAATACAACTACAGTTGAGTGAATCTGGAGTTGACAAGTAGCCCTGGGGCATCCTAATGAGATCAAAAGAGTATATTAGCATGTCAGATATAATCTCTGAAAATAAAAGAAGTATATGACTTTTTCTTTTTTTTTTCTTCATTAAAGAAGAAGAAGCGAAGGTAACGGTAAGCCTGACAAGTCCGCGCTCGCCTCCTTTTCCCAGTTTATTAGGTGTGTCAGAGGTGAATTACTCACACTGTCTCACAGTTGAGAGGAAAATGTCTGACCAGTTACCACGTTGCCTGTGTTTTGGAAAACACGTGATAAGGAATGACACATATTAAACAGGTGCACTGTGGTCTGATTTTAAACATGATAACTGTCTGGGATGATATAGCTGTTTAAATGTTGGAGGTGTTCATGTTTTTCCACCTCATACTTTTTTTTTAATTATACTCATACACCTGGTTTACCTTGACTGAGACTTTGTTCGGAAATGCTCATAAAATGGCTGTCTAGCTTAAGATTGGGCACTTAAAGGGACGGTTCACCCCCAAATCAAAAATAGATATTTTTCTTCTTACCTGTAGTGCTATTTATAAATCTAGATTATTTTGGTGTGAGTTGCCGAGTGTTGGAGATATCGGCCACAGAGACGTCTGCCTTCTCTCCAATATAATGGAACTAGATGGCACTCAGCTTGTGGTGCTCAAAGTGCCAAAAAAATACATTTGAAAAACTCGGCAGCAATGCGTCTTTCCAGAAATAATGACCCAGTTACTCAAGATAATCCACAGACCTTGTTGTGAGCAGTTTCATGTAGGAACTATTTTCTTTCTACTGAACTACACCCGTTAATCGTATCACCACACAGACGGAAGTGTGCATCTACTGCTAGCTCACCTAGCACCTCTGAGATAGCTAACGTTACAGCTCATCTGCGGAGGATGGCATTAATGTTTACATCGCTGAAATGTTAGCTAGCTCAGAGGTGCTAGGTGAGCTAGCAGTAGATGCACACTTCCTTCTGCGTGGTGATACAGATGGCAGGTGTAGTTTGGTAGAAAGAAAATAGTTCCTGCATGAAACTGCTCACAACAAGGTCTGTGGATTATCTTGAGAAACCGGGTCATGATTTCTGGAAAGAGACATTACTGTTTCTCAAATGTATTTTTTGGCACCTTGAGCACCGCAAGCTGAGTGCCGTCTAGTTCCAAAGAATCTCTACGGCTGATATCTCCAGCACACGGCAATTCACACTAAAATAATCTACTCTAGACTTTTGATTTGGGGGTGAACTGTCCCTTTAAGATACTCATCTGATAAGCTCTAACTCTGTGCACTTGCTCAGAGGGTATCCTCCTCCACTGACAATAAAGGTGAGGAAAGTGAATGTGTGTGTTCAGTAGCTCACGGCTCGCAAAGCAACCTGCGCTGTGACTGACATCGAGTGACAACATAAAAGAGAGTCGTGCGAGGCAGGACAAAGCAAATAACTTCCAATCAAAGCCTCAGACACAGGCAGGTTGTTGTCTCAACCGTGTTAAACCAGTCATCAAAGACACTCAAAAAGTCCACCGCCTCTTTCTCCCTCCACCAAGCCTCCACCAATACCTCCCTCTCCTTTTCTACCACGGTCTCCACCTCCTCTTATTATCTACTCTCAGGGCCAAGCGTACAAGCTCCGAGTAACTGAAGGCAGTTAAAGTCAACCGCTGTGAGGGCAGTGAGCCACAAAGTTGACAGGTCTGGTTAAACAGGTTCTGAGGGGAGAGGCTGATACTTGTTTAACTGCTAGGTATGGCACACTGCTGCTGCTGCCACCGCTGCTGCAGATGCCTCTCTAACATGTAGCCTGGCTTTTGTGAAACACTAGTTTCACCCACTGACCTCCAAAGCAGGACACATGCCTAATGCAGCACATATGAGGAGAAATGCCAGGGCAATATATTGTCATTGATTAAAAACTGACTCGTAAATCCAGCCATGTGTCCGTTGTTAATACACAATTGTGTTTTAATCAGCACTGGTTTGGTGTTACTGTGGCTTGGGCTCAAGCTCACTGAAACACATAAACAGGCAGACCACATGAATCAGCAGGAACTGGCTAGGCAAGTGATGATTAAGCAACCTTGCGCCACATGTAAATCCCATCTGCAGTTTTGCACCATTTCTTTTTCTCACAGACTTCAAAGGAAGTATCATCTGCAGAGTGAAACTTGCAGCACCGCATTTCCATGGATGTACTACACCTTGAAACTAAAGAGGATTGACACTTCACACGGGGGCACGCCTGCAACAAATGCAGGAAATAGGAAGGCAGAAATGTCAGTGATAATAAGTGATGGGCCCTTCGAACGATCCCTTCAGTACGTGTTAATAGTTTTCTGTGTTTAAACATAACCAAGTCATTTGTCTGCTGCTCTCAGCTGTGTATCTCTGTTCATCACATGATGTACTTTTGAGGTCCCAGCCTCAGCCACACAGCCTATTTGTGAAGCTAAGTGAAAGCAGATAATGATGGCTACTGTTCCCATTAGTTTGGGGATTTTTCTTTGCTGTTTATTAATAGGAAACTCTTCCAACACATGACTTAGCCATCATCTGTAAATACTTCTGAAAAGGGGGTTACAGAACAATAGCACATTAAAAAAAAAAAGAAAAAAAAAGGATGTGTGTCTGTGTGTTTTTATGGGGCCTAGGCAACATCACTGACTCACTGAATCAGTCTTTCATTTTATTTTTATTTTTTCCTGAAACTTTAAAACAGTTGTTTTTTTTTACATATTCTCAGAAAAGTATATCATGCCCACTTCCTAACCTCTACTCGATAAAAAACTAACCCATTTATAAAAGTTGAACACATCATCATAAAAAGTGAAACCATACACCAGAATGATACCATTATTTACACAAGCCCATTAAATTACAACATAAATTAGAAAATATTTACATCCAGGACGAGACGCTGGATAAAATTCTATGTTTGGAATTTAATGTCTAATTAAAAACATTTTTAAAGAAAGAAATATATACATTTACACTCATTCTCACGACGTACACACACTCTGGCAGGGCTGAAGTGATTGGTAGGTTGATGGTAACTTGGGTTTTTTTTAAATACTAAGAATGATGAGTACCTAACGTGGTCACAAAAATAACGCCGCCAGGTTTTAAAGAGAGAGTAACAATGCAAGCATTGCTACGCCTGTAATTCACATGAACACTGAAGAGGCTGTAAAGTCTCTGGTTTCTGACCAAACACAGACTGAAAAACCAAAAATCATCTTTTCTCATTTTCATTCAGGCCTACATAAGATTCAAATCATCTTTCGTGAACAAAGCACAATAACACTGGAGCCATTTTGAAGTGGTCGTACAAATCAAGCACACAAAAAAAAAAGAAAGAAAGAAAATGAAGTGGATTTTCTTCTCTCTCTTTCTCATATAAAAATTGTCCTTTGCAAGTCTATTGAGACACAGGAAATCAGTGGATTTGCCTCCAGACAGAGCAGGAGGAGGTGGGGAGGGGAGCTGAGAGGAATTCACAGCCACAGCAACTCATCTTGAAATGATGTCCTCTAGGGAGAAAAAAACAGTACCGACTTTGTTCTTTTCCTCTTGTCAACAGACAGCAGGTCCCGTAGTTGTAGCATCAGCACATTGGCAACTGTATGGAACTGCAGTTGGTGTGATATGTTGTATTTTACGCGCTCATGAGGTGGGCTCCCATTAGGACCAGTGCACAGGCGTTCACCGTAGGTGCGGACTGATTTGTAGCCAGCTGTGAATGGTTCTTGGAAATCATCAACTTCTCAACAAAAATATAACAGTGCGAGTACACACACACACACTCACACATTCACACACAAATTCAGCTCTCAAAATGACAATACTTATCAATCAATATTGATTTGAAAAAAGTCCAAAAAGGGCAGACAGGGTGGCGAGATTAAGGGAGTCGGGGGGGTTCTCAAGTTCATAAGGATTCTCCTCTGAGCTCTCATTTCCTGTGCTTGTCCATTTTGTCGGTAGATTTGCTCCCACTGTCTGAGGATCCCTGGGTGTCGCTACCAGAGCTCAGGTACATCTTGTCCACTTGTTTGAGGGCCTCGTTCAGGTAGTTCTGAAGCGAGGTCATGGCGGCGCAGATGGCCGGAGAGCCAAAGCCGTGAGTGATGAGGCTGAAGTGGGTCAGGCAGCCTTGGATTCCAGGCTCCATGATGGGGGCCGGCCGCGAGTTTCCCAGAGGTGAACGGTCCTGAGTGAGCAGGTCAGTGAACTCCTTGCAGATTTGCCTGAAGGTAGAAAACCAGAATGACACTAAATTCAACATGTGTACTGTTTCATTGTGATCTAAGGCCAAAGTCTGCAAGAAGTTAAAATCCTCCAGTAATCGAAAACGTCCTACGGTACACCCTACTTTGCTAGAGGTGTATTTCCACGCAAATTAAAGGCAACCATGCAGATAAGACACTTACTTGGCAGCAAGCAGCATGTTCTTGCGAGAGTTAACCTCGTTGCGTTCCACGTGTGGCCTGCCCAGGTATTCAGCAATTGCCTTTGCAGGGAACTCTGTCTCACACACGTAACCAAAGTCTCTGGCTAAATGAACAGCTTCACCTGAGGGAAGAAGAAGAAAACAAACCTTGTAAGAGGAAAGAAAAGAGGAAACTTTGAGCCTAAGTCTAAAGGCAAAGACACACTAAAGCAACATCAAAAACTTTTGACGATGAAGGCTGACTGTTGAGTCGCCTCACATCATCTGTACCCCGGACAAAAAGTTGAATTTAAACACACTGCACAGACTACAGCCAATGGCCATTTTGCACATAAGTTCCACCCCTGCATTACAGGGAATAACTCTCCATAGCAACAGGCAGCAGTAATCTGTGTTTGTCATTCAAAAGGGGAAACTGGGAGACCGACAAGGCAGATTCAAGATGCTAGTTAGCCAGCTAGCACATTAAAACACAACCCAATGTTGAAAGAGCAAAGGACTGTGCGCCAGCAAACAATAACACAAACAATGACAAACCATATCTGCCAAAGAGCTCAAAAAAAAATCTCACCTAATATAACCAGTTTGTTCTGATCTCCCGCCCCCTTGACTTGAGTCATTTGTTAGCTTTTCTCACCTCTGTTCCTCTTTTTGTGCACCGAGCTGCCAGTAGAGTGATTTTATTCACCGTCGGGCTCCGTCAACTCTGATTGAACATGCTGAACTAGCCGATAAAAGCTGACAAGGGCCGACTAATGCCAATGGTGCGGTACACACAGCAAAAACTAGGGTGACAGACACTCACCAACAGCCTGACATTGACTGATGGCAAAGCATCGGCTTGGTGTGTCAGGGCGCTCAGACAACACAATTGGCTCATGGTCTCAAACTAAGACTGTTTATTTACGTAAGAATAAAGATTATTACTATTTACACGGATATTAAGACCACATGCCCTCTGACAAACTGGGCAAAGATCAAATGGTAAGCTGGCTGGATTCAGCAATTTATCAATTTAGAGCATTATACTAGCAGCCCTGTCTTGGACCAGACACACACACACAAGCATCAAGGCACATGAAGTGAAGCAGTTGAACTACAGAATAATCAGCTGTGCTCAGTCTCATAGCTCGAGGGAAGAAGAGCTAGCGAGATGAATATATTTCAGTCTTGAGGGTGGTTTGACTTGCATGGTCATAATGGGCTTATGTGGATAAATGCTAGCAGAGAGTGCCCGCGGCGCCAACAACACCGCTTATTGATAGACACGCACATCACTTGAGGATGCGGCCGGCTATTCAGAAGCACAATCTTGAAGGTCAGCAGACCCTCCTGGCGAGCCGAACACAAGATAACAAGGCTTAATTCAGCTTTGAAGGTCTCTAAATAACACAAGCCTCCAGTCATTCTCCTGCACAGAATCAGCAGCCCATTTATAAAAATTAGGCGCGTAGGGAGCGAGAGAGGGAGAAAAAATATTTTACCTTAGCCCGCGGCAGGTAGATGTGATTAAAGTGATAACATTTTCATTGCGAGGCGTCACTGTCTGGCTAAGGTATGACTGATGTTTTAGTATTCGAGGCTTTGACAAGAGAAGGTGAAAGTGTTGTGTCGTGTGGTCATTTTAATTACACAACTCTATGACATTAAATAAAACATTTAAAAGACGAATATATGAGAGAGAGGTGTCGCTAATACAAAATAATACATTTGGAAAAGTGGTAGAATCGGAGCGGAAATATTTTGGAGCTTCTCTGCTGCATGATTAGTTTTTTTAAAGATGAACTCAAAAGGATAATTGGATTTTAAGTATTTATAATTTTGTCTTATGGACAACTATTGCACATCTCTCCGTCCTGGGAAAAGGATCCCTCCTCAGTTGCTCTTCCTGAGCTTTCTACCATTTTTTTCCCTGTTCATGTTTTTTTTGGGGAGTTTTTCCGCGCTGTGAGGATCCAAGGACAGAGGGTGTCACATGCTGTAAAGCCCCCCCCCCCGAGGCAAATTGTGATTTGTGATACTGGGCTATATAAATAATGGACAGACATACCATGGGAACAAAAGAGAAAGCTAACATGCAGTTGAAAGCTTTGCAAATGACACGACAAAGAAAACATTGAAATTGTCTTAATATATTTGAGTATTTCAACAATGAATGGTGTTCGGAATATGGCTTAGAAAATACTGTATGGTACTTCAAACACACACACACACCCTGTGAGAGAGATTGACAGTCTCACAGTAATACAGCGACATTCCAGCCGCTGCAAACAGCAATTACACCCGAGAAGGTGCTACACACTACTGAGTGACATGTCATACCTTCTACTAGTGAGGTAAGCAGAGTGACATTCGCTGCCTTCCTTCTTCCTGCAGGCAGGTTGAGTCCAATCTTATCCAGCTTCTCTCTCAGAGAGCGACCTCCATTTTTTGACTTGGCTCTGCAGAAGAACAAAAAAAAAAGCATTTTAAGTCCACAGTTGATAAGTAATTCAAACAGATTATGAGTTTTCTAACGTGCTGTATTAAAGTTTGTGGAAAATTATTAATGGAAGATTAAGAAATTAATAAGAAATCTTTTCACACATTTTCCTTTGATTAGCGTAAGGACATTTAACCCATAAATTAAGACAAATGGAGCAGATTTGTATGATTATTGTGCTATCAGCTAACTTCAGAGATTGCAAAGCATACTGCATACATATCCTATCAGAGGAGGCCTCGTTGTGCACTTCTGATAACAAATAAATCACACAAACAGGCTCTCCTGACCTGAAAAAACACTTGACGCTTCCATTCAAAAACTGTTGCAGAAAAATCACTCATACATGCGTTTGCAAAAACACTTAAACTCCCCACATGCAGTGGCCGATTCAGTTTTACGCATGACTGGAGGGCAAGCTCTCCCTCTCCTCGGCGGGTGAAAGAGGGAGCATCTTTTGGGAGGCATGTGTGTACGAGTGCCCCCACCCCCTCGTCCCCTTCTCCCCCCTGTCCCCCTGCTAACGATCCCCCTCCTAGTGCTATATGACCTACTTAAAAAATGTCTGTGATTGTGCATGTGTGTCTGTGTCGATGTGTGTGCATGTCAGCGTTAACACAGGCACATGGGAAGTGGCAAACGTGCACTCCAAGCACAAAACGCTCCGGTCAGGGGTGCCGAGTACGTACTGCAACCTTGCGGTCCCTCAACAGACTGCCACACTAACATATGTGCCATAAGGTCAACTGCTCTGCCACGGATAAACCTACCCATGCTGCAACCCCGTGACAAACGCACAAAAACACACCCACAGAGTCTTTAGATTGGTACTAACTGTGTTGATGTAACCTATCCCCAGAAGAAGCAGAGAACCAAAATTGCAGACCACACAAAGAATGTCACGAACCTTACGCAAAAAACTGATGAGCCAGACTCTGAGCCAAGCTGTGCTTTTAGAAAAGCCTTTCCCGTGGGCTGCTGAGCTTCAGTCTCCAGATATCTGGAGCTGCAACTCCTCAGTTTAATGACAGTTATATCTTAAACAATCAGACAACCCTGTCAAAAGTTTGCAGAGAGCAGAGATATATATAAAAACTAAGGAAATTAATTATGCTTGCGTTAGCCTCCCTTGCTTTTTGTGAATCAGCTCTGTGTTCCTGTGTTAAGTTGGAGCCTTTAACAAACAACAACAGGGAAACATTCAGTCCAGCTCGCTGTCATGTTGCATGAGTCTGAGCTCTGACCTGCGTAAAACCCCTCCCAGGAGCGATGCGTTGAGGCACTCAGGGGGTGATAGACGTCTCTGGACTTCAGCCACGGTAACCTTGTACTTGGATGTGGAGCTCAGCAAGGAAAGACGGCCCGGTACGGAGCAGAAAACCTCTGTGGGGTTCGACACCATGCCCAGCAGGGACTCTTTCTGGAACGGAAGACCCAGCGCGTTGCCTTTGGGAAGAGTGACAGGACCTGGAGGGCGAGGGAGAGAAAAGTGGGTAAGCTGAAGAGTGAAGAAGAACAAAAGAAAAGCAAAAAAAAATTCTGGTTGTGCAACAGAATTTGTTTATGTAAGCACTTTTCCTGTGTATGTACATAAGCTCTAATCATCAAAATCCTTTCTGTGCAAAAGGGAATCTGTGTTTTCTTGTACGTAATCACAAGACAGAGTGTGTGTGCAGCCCTGCATGGCTAAGGAAGACTGTGTCTGCTGGACTTTTAAAATATTGTGTGGTTTTGCAAACACTGGATCCCTGATGGTTAAACAGTTAAAATGCCCTCATGCCAAACACCATCCACAAACAGGTACACACATACAGCCTGCCCCTCGTCTAAGCCTCACATTCACCTCAGTACTGTTTATTATATTGCTCTCAAAGGGCTTTAAGTATTCCAGACAATGTGTGTGCTTTTTTTGTTGGCACTAAAGTTAGAAGTTTTCAACCCCCCACAAAAGGTACTAACAGTCATCGGACAAAACAGAAACAGCACAGCACACTACAAAACATAGCTATCTTCATCCTCACCCGCAAGAATGCCCCCCTGATAATAAGTCCTCTGTAAGCGATCAAGGTTCCTGCCACCTCGTAGTCCTAATACTGAGACAAAAATCACAGAGTCACATGAGTGCTTTAAGGCTCCTCTGGGGCACATGGCTGGGAATGACATGCCATTGTTTACAAGTGGGAAAACCTAGATTGCCCATAGCGTGCCCTTGAGCATGGGAACAATATAATGAGCCATCACTTATTTTCGTAACAAATGGGGACTGGCTGGTGTGGTGTGCCATGCAAATGGCTTTCTGCATGTAACTGTGCATCGTAATATTGTGACGCTTTTTGCTGTTATGCTTTTAAAAAAAATTCACAGTTTTTTACTATAAATGTTGCATAAATGTCTCAGAATTAACCAGAGCGCTGCGATATTGGTCAGGCTTCATAATGAGAAACTACTGGTTAGACTTAAAATAAAAGGTAAAACCTGCCTTTGTACAATTAAATTTTTTTTATAGTTTTATAAGTTTTTACAGGATTGAATCTATCTATCTGTCTGTGGTGTGAATGACTGAAAAAGGCGAAGCAGCACAATAGTGCTGCTCGAGCTGATTTTTCTATGACTCAACCCCTGTTTTAATGAAGCCCTGGTGACAAAACATCAGGAATAAGTTCTCCCTCAAAACAGTTCATGTCCCGACAAATAACTAAACTGTCCTTCACATGCAAGCCCTAATGCCACACCCCGCCAAAAGCTGGTTCTGCAGAGCCAAACACTGCTCCGAGATCAACTCATAATTTCCTGTTAACGTGAACTGAAAAGAGCTGCAATTGCGAGCTTAACCAGCCTAAAGATGATCCAAAGCCTTCCTCTTCTCTCACAGTCAACACCGACGCTTGTGAGATTGCTCAATTTTCATGTCTTGTCAGCTGTAGCCTGTCAGAGGTTTTTTTTTGTTTTGTTTTGTTTTTTTGAAAGGGGATCAGTTCTTTCCCACTGGGCATCCATTCAAGCACCTTCACCAACAGAATAGGCTAAGGATCACATCAAGCTTAGATAAGTGCATCTCATGGCTACAAGGATTATCGGTGTATGCAGTGCAAGTACAAATACAAGACTCCTCCTCTGCTGTACTCATGAACTGAGTGCCCTGACATGCCACTATAGAAGTAATTGTTATGACAATTCCAAGTATGTAGAGAGTGAAGAAGGGAAAAAAAAAAAAGAAAATACGGTCCTTACAGTAAATTTCCAGCCCTCGCCAGTAATTACTGCATCTTTATTTGGTTGTACAAAGGCACATGTACCCCAGGCAGCATTTTCCAAAAACCTATTTTGCTCTTCAAAGTAAGAGAAGTGCAGCACTGACGACTGGACACAAACATGCAGTGAACTCACCTTTTTTGATGACTGTCTGATCTGCCATAATAATACTGTGGTCATCTACATGCTGATAAGAAAAAGAACAGAAGCAGCAATAAGCATTGTTTTAAAAAAAAAAATTACACAAAAAATGACAGAGACAAAGCTGGCTGGAATTAATTTCTGTCAATGTGTGTACAATTTAGAAAAATATCTTTTGCCTCTTGCATGCAGAACAAAAAAAAAAAGCAGGCATATTATTGTGACATGTTTATGGAGTTGCTAGTGGTGACATTTGGTTGTTTTTGATCTCCTGTTTGATATACGGTAACTGAAGGAATTAATTTTAGCTTTGCTTTGCATGAATGCTATCCTGACATATGCTACCTGTGTCAGCATTGCAAATCACACACACGCAGCATGCACGCACATTTACTTGAATTTCACTCACTTGAACATCCTCCATCCCGTGCCCCATGTCGTGCATCCCCATGTTATCACCAATAACCGACGACTCTATGCCGTGCACATGTGGAGGCAGCAGCTCCGGCCGCCGGAACCCTTCCCTCCTCACCCCGGACGAGCCTCCCTCCAGGCCCAGGATCTGACTCGCCAGCCCGCTCCTCCCGTGCGCTCCGAGGCCCTCCTGGCCCTGCCGCCCGGGCCATTGCTGCTGGTTCGACGACGGCGACTGGTGTATGGAGTTGATGTTGAAAGGGTCGCCGAGGTGCGAGTAAGGGTCGCTGGACTGCGGGTAGGAGATGGGCTGGTAGGGAGGCGGGAAGTACGGGGGCTGGAAGTCCGAACTGGCCGAATGTGAGAGGGAGGGAGACGGGCTGTAGAGGTGCTGGCTGACCGCGGGCAGGTGAGGCAGCCGGGGGTTCCCATTGCTGTTGCCGTCGTGCCTTTCCTGAGGGAGGACGGAGGAGACACAGGTCAACTGAGAGGGCTCACAACAAGATGGCAGGTAGTGGTGACATTTGGCCCTCAGGGGACTCAAGTGTCTGATGTACACTTTAAATAATGGCTTAGAGATGTGCCTGAATATATTATTAATATTATATTATTTTTATTTGGCATGGGAAAGACACCCACACTACTAGCCTATTTATATTATTATAACATATTATTTGATGGATTAATCAGTTAAATAGGTTATTAAAACCATGGTAGAATGTTCTCATGTGTAAGTAATGATCCAAATTAATAATTATGCAAAATAATAATTTATCTTCAGGCTACTACTTTTGCAAAATAATTTTTTATTTATTTATTATTTTTTAGATTATTTTAATTGTTTTTATTTTTGTCATTATTATCAGGCACATATCTGTTTTTGTTGTCATCTAAATAAATATTAGCCTGCATTTATTCTGAAATGTGTCCTGCTTTTACAGCTGTATGCAACTTTTTTTCCACAGAGTTTTCTTAGCACTTTCTGTTCCCCTGTTTTCGTCTGTTGTAATGTCTGTTTTCCATTTTTATCTTCCCTTATCTTATCACTGTCACATCATAAATATAAACTAGACCTATAGTCACGGTTGTGGTTCAATACCAAACTTTTTTCGCTGCCAACCAAAAGGTACTTTTCCCCCTCGTTCTGCAACTCCCTCGAAACTCACCTCACAGTCATCCTCATACTTGACGTTGTCAGCTAATTTCCACAACATTCTGACAGAGAAAAAGTCTCCCCGTTACAAAAGAGTAAAAGCACAAGAAAACAATCTCGTCGCCTGCGAGTTAATCCAGGTATGAAAAACCCAAGAGCTTCCTGGTGATCATGAACCACCTTGTTCTTCAGCTGCGGCGGACAGGCGAAGTTGCGGGTGAATGCTGAAGGGGCGAACTGACCGACCGACTCACTATCCAACCGCAGATATGAGTTTTCCCGACAGCCACTACGGGAGAAAATAATCAGGCAATATTCCCCCCCCCCTGTGTCCGGTCAGTGTGCTCTGGAGTTCTGTTTGTGCAGCGGGAGAAAACGGTGCATTTAAGAAACTTGACTCCCTCTTATGGCAGAAAAAGCGATGTTCAGTCTTATTGGTGAACACATGAACACTGTACTATATGTGCACAGGCGCGCACAGGGGGCGGCACCCTGCGCGGTGATGTCAGGGGAAAAGGGAAAATGAAAATATTGCTGATTGGCGGGATGATGGTCCAATCAGAATTCTGTCCGTCTGTGCAGAGTCAGACATTTAAACCCAGTGACTTTACTAGAGCCCACTTTAAGTGGCCCACAGTGGGAGAAGTCTTTGTATCTCCAGACGCATCATCAGTAACCTGAGGACACCTGTAGGCTCTGTTTCAGGATTATATTCCTTATACACACACTGAGATGATGAAGAGATTTAAAACAACCCTCCAAAAATTAGGAAACAACTCATTTTCAATTGCTGATAAGTAAAAATGTAAGAAAACATTGAATTAGATGGCGATACAATTTGTGTCAGAACCAGCTTTATTATAGGGAAATGTTGCAGTGACGGGTTGCTAGGTTATTGAGAGGCTTTCAGCCAATCACAGTGCTCGGTTCGAGGTGTTCCAGCATGTTGATGGTGTTCGTAATAATTATTAAGAAAGGCGCCATGTTTATTATAGCAGAAAAATACTGCAGAGTTTTTTTAGTATAAAAACTAAGCTACTGATTTTATAACTGATCTTAAAGTCAGGATATGCCAATGTAAATATCTGTTTGCATTTTTGGAATTATTTTACTTTTTTTTTTTAATTTTAATTTTATTTCATTGTATTTTATTTTATTTTATTTTATTTTTTACTGTAGCCTACTTAATCGCATCAAGTATTATTTTAAACATTTTAAACAAAAAAAAGTGTTTTAAAATGATCATTATTATTAATAATAATCATTTGTTTGTTTATTTATTTATTTTATATTGTTTTTATTATTATTAGCCAATTATTATTCACGATTGTGGTTATTACATTAACTGTTATCAGATGTATGGTAGAATAATATCCGTGCTCTCTTCTTTCTTCTGGATGCCATTTAACTTAATTAAATCCTCGTGCTCATCTGTTTACCGACTCAAAATAACTCCAGCAAGATATTAAGATAATGCAACTGTCCGATTTAAATGCCTAGGTAATAACAATAATAGTCATTCAGATAAACCCATGACATTGTGATGTCGGTGTTTCACAGTGGTGGTTAAGTGCTTGTTTCAAACCGCAATAAGCCTCAGGGCTTCTCTCTCTCTCTCTCTCTCTCTCTCTCTTTCTAAAAAAACCCCTCCAAAGCTCAAAAGGATCTCAACAAACAACTCTTTCTTAACTTCATTTACATTTTTGGTGGAGCTTTGCAGTGTCCAAAACAAGGCTGCTTTGAAGCTTTGATATGCATCTGAACTGAATGTGAGGACAAAAGATGTTTTTTCTTCTTTTGTTAATTATAACGAACTCACTTTGCATTATTTTGTTAAGTTTTAGCCCATTTTATTTTAAATTCAGCAGTCAGAGGGTAATGCGCAGTATATTTGGAGTCATTTCGTTAATTGGTTTTGTATCACTGAAGGAGAGCATGTCAGATTATAAATCTTGAGATTAACGAACAGACTTTTGTGTTGTAGGATAACAGCCTGTGGCGTCCGTGCACCCAAGCTGTGATGATCGGCTGTGCCTGGGAACAACAAGACATGGGCTACACTAGGATTATCTTTTTTTTTCCAGTGTTGGTCCCTGGCTTGTTGTGATGCGGAGCAGAAGTGAAATGCGCGCTGATTAAAATGTTATTTCACGTCGGAGCAGAGCAGACCTACAGGAGGTTAGTGACGCTTGGCTTGCCGGTGATGTTTTGTGCAAATGTGATGCTCAGCTTGTCATTTTAATGACAGCACACTGCGGTGACAACCGGCTCAGCTGATGTCAGGTGTAAAGATTAAATGGATCCGTGCCCGGACAAAGAATGTGACACAAATCAATGAGGGAGTTGTGCCATGTGGCCTGTGGGAAATAATATTTAAAGGTTGATTTGTGTGAGAATTTTCACAATATAATGATAAATTAAAAATCCCAAATTTGCCTTTATAGCCTATACTAGACACCAACAGGCCCTATACAAGTCACTATGATATTCAGGTTATATTCATACACTATATATAGCCTATATTATCTGTATCATGTTGTACATTAGAATCCCATATGATGTCCATGTTCCTGCAGAACTCGCTTGCTTTTATAGTTTAATTTTCAAAAAAGAGAAATAATAAAGAAATGATCCTGCTTATTTTGTACAAATTATAAAAAGAAAAATATGCATCATTTTCTTAAAAGCCTGATTCAAAGTCTGTTCATCACGTCTTTGTAATCCAGCAGCCTCAAACCAAATCACTTTGACTTTCTGAGAGAATAAAACCCACGCCTTTGTGACATTAATCACGGGTTATCCACAAGCGCACACGGCGCTGCTGCTGCGCGATCACAAACAGGTGATTATTATGGAACGGTAATAAAACAAATCTAAGCTCAGCAGTAAAAGCGATAAATAGGCTATGATGCAGGTTGGGTTAAACTAAGTCAGCTGTATAGGAAGAGAAATACAGCAGTGAACTCACCCTCCAGTCTATCCTCTCCAGCATAGACATCTGCAAAGCTCCAGTCACAGCAATCCCACTGAGACGCAGCGAATGAGTGAAACCATGAGAGGTTTACGTGACCGACTTCACCTGACGGTGCCGCACTGCGCATGCGCCATCCGGGCTAATACACCTGAGTGGGATAACTCAAAACAATCTATCTCCAATTCCTCCACGAGAACCTGCATTTATAATGTTTTATTTAAAGCAACATATTAATATAATTTAAAGTGGGGAAAAGGCAGCGCATAAATGTGTCAACAACATTATATAATTTTAAAATAAACTGATTATACTCACAGGATTAGATCTATAACCAAAAAAGAATTATTGCTGATCTCATAAGTATCTGTTGAGTACAAAATAAAAAAAGAAACAATGACACACAGGCTAAAGTGTAAGAAAAGGTGAAAAGAAAAACACGTGGGGAAATTTCAAGATGAGGTAATTCCACCCCCAAAGCCACATCGCCTCAGGCTGACCAAAAAGAATCTGCTTTCAAAAGCCACTGAAGCTTTTTAAGGCCTAAAATGGCTCTTGTTATCTGATCTCCCAAATACTTTAGCTTAAACTAATGAACAGATCAAAGTGGATTCGCTATGTGGTGGAGAATGTAGCTTACATATCTTGTTCTGAGAAAAAGGAAACTCACCTTTCTGAGGCGCAGCCCGGGCGGACACCTGCCATAAAATAAAGCCTCATCAAACAGCACACTTTTAAATAATTGGGAACTATAATGGAAACAATTGTGCGTGTCCTATATTAAAATGATAAAATAAAATATTTTAATCCCAATCTCTATGTATCTGTGATGTCTTCACTGCACAATACCAGCTGTACGAACTTTTATGGTGCTTGAAAAAAGCATTATCTGACAGATAAGTCTATGATCTCCAGCTTAACTTGAATTCCAAACATGTAGGCTTTGTATATGGTCTTATTTAATCAAAGTTTAACATAAATGCTTGTTGCAATTCATTACAAATTTACATCTATGTTATAATGGGTGCAAACGTTCAGATACGTCTGTTCAAAGATGCGTTCAAGGACTCTAAGTTCTCCTTTTCTTTCTTTCTTTTTAGCCCATCGCATTGGCTCATGCAGGATCTGGTAAATCTATCTGTACAAACATCTACTCAGATCAGAAAATGCATCTTAGTGCTGCCACAATTATGGGCCCACATAGAGCCAACACTGAGCTTTGAAAAAATGCTACTGGAATATATCAAACAATCCAAAGAGGCCGTTAGAAAACGCATCTGTCTTTGCTCCTGCACAGAGACAAAGGGTTTCTCTGGTTACTAACAAGAGGTCATCGAAAACGAAACAAAAGAAAATTTACATGAGCTTATAGGGTTGTTGTTATTGATGCGTTATTCTTCTTTAAACCACCTATTCAGTGATCTAACGTGCGCAGAGAGATGTAAATCAACAAGGAACAGAGAAACATGTCACAGGCTGCTGCTGGATGAAGACAAGAGGACGCAGTGTTTATTTGAATTTTTAGCCACAATGATTGGATTATTTATGGTGTAACTTACATTTAATGAAAAGCAGGCGGACTCCGCTTTGGATGTTCTTTTTTTTTAACCCCGCGACCACAGTTTGAGTCTGTGGAGTCACAGGATAAAGGGATAAAGACGCCTCTGCTGCCGCCTGGTGGCTGCATCACCACATTACCACTGGGCTTCTAACAATCTTATTGGAGAAAACATGTTTACTTCAAAAGCAAAGCCATTTACAATTTCTTCAGGTTCAGGATAGTATAAACTGTTAAAAATAACCCCCAGGGGGTATTAGCATATATTTTAGTCTGCTATGTATAATTTAAAAATAGCCACTTAAATAGTTATGGAAAAACAGGTAGTGGAAAAAAATCACTCTATGCCTGTGAAAATATAGTAGTCAAATGTACTTTTTTTTTTTTTTTGCCGTTTTTGTCCAGAAATAAAGTTGTCAAATGCCAAAAATAACGATTCCATTGAATTCCTTGTGTCAGAATTGTATGGAAAAATGTGTTCATTTGTCTCTCTGTGTTGTTTACTTCAAAAGCTAAGCTATTTCCAATTTCTTTGGGTTCGGTAGGTGTAACAGACTGTTAAAAATAAACCCCATGGGACATTATTTCAGTCTGCTAGCTAGTATAATATTAAAATAGATACTTAAATGATTAAAAAAAAACAGGTGGTGAAATGTTTTTCACCCTAGGTGCATGAAAAAAGGAAAATATAGCTGTGAAATTAACATTTTTTTGCCATTTTTTGTTGTTTTATTGTCCAGAAATAGAGTCAAGATGTTGTCAAATGTCAAAAATAATCATTCCATTGAATGTCTTGGGTCAGAGTTATATGGAAAAGTGTGTTTATTTGTCTCTGTATGTTGTTTACTTCAAAAGTTACACCACTTTATGTATCTTGTTTTTC